TGCACGCACGCTCTTTCTCTCGCAAAAATAAACATAATAAAAATAGACTGGTAAGGAAGCCGGCTCTGTGGGACTCAGTGATTTGCTCTAAGCCAGTAACTGAGCTCCAGCCCAGGTGTCTGGGACCCAGGTGCAGGATACCTCCCCAGCACCTCCAGGGGAAGGAAGGCAGGTGACAAAGCCCCAGGTGCAGAGTGCCAATGCAATGCTCAGCTTCTACCACCAGTAGGGCCTGGTATTGCCTGAGGGTGGCCTCCTGTGCGGAGGCAGAAACTCCCAGGAGCCCGAGGGCCCCAGAAGTCCCTCCTTCTGAGGCCTGCCGGTCAGACTTTTCCCAAGTGAGACATCTTTTTTGCCTTAAATGTGCCTGCCCCTGGTCATGGCAAGAGCACTCCTAACCATGATGCCAGTGCCCAGATGGCAGCCCAGCCCAACCTGGGTGCTGCGGCCCGCTGCGGTCACATGGGAGATGAAGGGCTGTGCAGTTTTCCAGGGAGAGGTAACAGCATATGCAAAGCCGTTGCTCTCTTTTTTTAAATTTTTATTTTTCAGGTGGGGAAGGTTTTATAGCATGGATGAAAAAAAACATTTTGTATTGTCATCACAGACTTGCCTCACGTAATGACTGTTTGGGTCGGGACAGGACCAGGGAGAGGCCAGCCGAGGCACTTGCCCCGGGCACAATGTAAACGGGCCCCAAGAATCTTATAATACACAAGATACGTTAATACTTTTAATGTGATTTAAAAAATCAAAAGTAATGGTAGGGGCGCCTGGGTGGCTCTGTCGGTTGAGCGTCCAGCTTCGGCTCAGGTCATGACCTCACGGCTCGTGGGTTCGAGCCCCGTGCCGGGCTCGCTGCTGTGAGCACGGAGCCCACTTTGGATCCTCTGCCCCCCCACCCCAGCCCCTCCCCACCTATCAAAAATGAACAAACATGAAAGAAAAAGTAACGTAAAACAAACTCATGATGCACCAAACAGCAGCATTTCAAATAAAGACAGGGTGAGGATGACTTATGTTGATTCCAGCTCCAGCAGCACTCAGCACAGCACCTTGCCGATCCCGCCTCCACCCCTGCCCGCCAGTGCGCCTGTCTCTTGCTGGGGGTGCGCCGGGCCGTCCCTACGTCACATCTTACGTACAAGCTCTCTGTTGCTCTTCCAGCGTTGTTTATTTTGTCTGTGCCCAGCTGATCTATGCTTCCCTCTGTGAGAAAAGCGGGGAATATCCCGAATGGGGACAGAATGCATATATTCCCTGATAGATTTGATGGAAATAGTTTTCCATTCAGCAGGAATGAATTGAAGTTGTTAGGGGAGGGACAGATGTGCTTCTGAATCGTAAATGTAGCACAGCCACACTCTGAGCGCAGCACAGACATCACACGAGAGCCTCAACCCTCAGTCTGTGTTTCTGAGCCCGGGCTTGTGGGGAACACCCCAAGGCAGGCTGAAAGGCCCCCGCGTTTCCCCGTGTGGACAGAGGCTGTCCCGAGCATCCTTACGGCCACGGGAAGTTCTGCGACACCCGCTTTGTCACTTCCTTCCCCGCTTGGCTCGCTGAGGCCGTCCTTCCTCCTTGGTTCCTGTTTGTCTGCAATGCCACACCGAACGCCTTTGTACACAAAGCCTTTCTCCTCCTCAGACCACAAGTATCGGGGAAAATGTCGAAGGGGTGACTGAGCTGGGGAATGCCTAAGGCCCTGCTGCTGAGGGGACCTCAGCCCCGGGGAAGGTGACTGTCCTGACCCCAATGGCGCCCCTCCCCATTCTTGCTCTGTCAGTGAGCTGCTAAGGTATCACTTCCAGAGGCTTCCCTTTAAATCCTACTCCTAGGGGCGCCTGGGTGGCGCAGTCGGTTAAGCGTCCGACTTCAGTCAGGTCACGATCTCGCGGTCCGTGGGTTCGAGCCCCGCGTCAGGCTCTGGGCTGATGGCTCGGAGCCTGGAGCCTGTTTCCGATTCTGAGTCTCCCTCTCTCTCTGCCCCTCCCCCGTTCATGCTCTGTCTCTCTCTGTCCCAAAAATAAATAAACGTTGAAAAAAAAAGAGA